TAAATAACAAATGTCAGACTTAAATCCAACTAACCCAACATTCACATTCATGTAAATTAAATAAATATTCTAATAAAAATATAGAAGTTGTCATCCCAAACAAAAAAGTAAGATCCATCTAAACGCTTTCTGTAACAGACACACTTTAGAGTCAAAGGCACAAATAGGTGCAAGAAAAGATTAGAAAAATATACCCCTGACAAACAGTAACCTTGTAAGTGAGCAAAAATGGTTATCCTAATACCTAAGTAGCTGTTAAAACAAGAAATATTACTAGAAATTAAAAGAAACATTTCAACATGTTAAGGCTTTCAATATAAGAGGAAGATAAAGCAATGATAAACATATATTATTCACCTGACAACAGAATCCAGGCCTCAAACACATGAAATAGAAAGTGACAGATTTAGAAGGATAAATAATTAAATGAGCATAGTTGAAGATTTAAAAGCTCTTCTGTCAGTAGTGAGAGAACAGCTAGTCAGAAAATCAGGAGCCCTACGGAAGACTGTCAAAGTAGTAAGAACCAGTTTTACATAACTGACATATATAGAAAAAGGGTCTAGGTCATAAACAGGGATCAAATATTTAAAGGATGGAAATTTTCAAAGTATAGTGTCTGAAGACAAAGGAACATTAGAAGCAATAACAGAAGGAAATATGGGCTATTTTCAAATATGTGGAAAGTGATACATTTCTGAAAAATTTCCAGTTCAAGGATGAAATCTTTGAAAATAACCTTTACTAGATGATATTAAACTGAGAATATATCAAAACCTTATGTGGGATTGAATGTAGTGTTTAGAGACAATTTGTAGCTTTGTCATTTACACTCAAAAGGAAAAATGTTATAAAATGACTGGTCTGAAGAGTTCCCTTTCAAGAAAATATAAAGAAAAGAGCCAATTAAAATTACAGAAGGAAGAAATAATAACATACATTTAGCTGAACGATGATTGTGAGGTATGTATCGTAGAATAAGTAATGGAAGCCTCAAATGGATCATACCCAAATATCTAAGGGCATCAGCAACGGGATGGATGAATACGTTGTAGTAGAATCAGGCAATAGATCAGAAATGAGTTTGGACAATTTGGAAACTTCATGCAACTCTGTTGGATGAATTGCACAAGTTTAGCTTCCCTTGAAAATTCCAAAAATAAAGTATGCATACTCTATGATTCCATTTATAGAAATGTCTTCTTTAAAGTACAGGTAAGAACTTGAAAGGGACATTTTGCAGTGCCGCTAAAATTAATTTACACATTGCAGGTGATGGTGACACTTGGAAATGCAGCCATCAGGTGGCAAGTGCCCCATGGGCACCCATCTGTACGTACATTACACCACAATGAAATTACCACAAGAGAATATTATGACAATGTGCACAACTATTGAAAGTGGGATTTTCATAAAATTGAAAAAATCCTACCAAAAACAACTTGTGAAGACTGAAACAAAAAGACATAAAAATATCAGAAGTGTCTTATAACTTCTAAAACATTTTTATCTGTCATTCTGAAAGCTTTCCACACTCAGTGACAGAATATTGAGATGTTTATGAATGAAGAAAATGTAAGGCAATTAAAAACCAAAGACCCCTTGTAGGGTAGAAAAAGAAGCTAATAGAATATGTGATAGGTGCATTTTGATGGGAATATTAAAAAAAGGAAATTATGTGTCAGTGGCAATAATAAATATAAAAATAATGGATTATGACATAAGTAGATTTATTGAAGCAATACCATCCTGGATTTACATTTACAATTCCATCAGCTTAGTCTGTCATTTTAGCAGAGTAAACAAGGTCAAATAATGTGACAGCTGTGGTGCAGAAGGCTACTGATAAAACTAATATTCATTCTTAATTTTAAAAAATCTTTACAAAGATAGAAATAAATATGAAATGATGCAATGGTCTAGAATACATATGATAACTCTGAAAAAGAACTATTATAAACCACTGTTTAAAAAAGAGGCTATTTTTAAAGTGTGATATTGACATAAAAATACATAATGATATTAATAAAATAGATTATAAAGTGCAAAAACTATGCCCACATACAAATGGAATGCAGGTTTCAACAATGTTGCAGCCATTCAGTGGAGAAAGTAAGTTTTTTCAGCATATGTTGTGAACAATGGAGTATCAATATTATTAATAAATATATACTTTATACTATGTACAAAAATATCAAAAATTGATCATCCTTAAGTGTAAATGATAAAATTTCAAGAAGATGGATGAGAAAAAATGCATGACCTAAAATTGGGCAGACATTCCTCAGAACACCAAAAACATGATCCATGAAAGAACAAATTGGTGAAGTGTGGTTCATCAGGATAATTTCTACTTTTTGAAGAGAAAGGTAAGACAAGTCATAGCCTTGGGAGGAAATATTTGCAAATCATACATCTAATAAAAGCCTTGCTGTCAAGATACAAAAAGAATTCCCAAAATACAATAACAGAAACTAAAAATATAATAAGCAAAATATTTCAAAAAATGACTTCATCAAAAAATGTGTATGGGTGGCAAATGAGTACAGTAAAAGAAGACCAACAATATTAGTCTTAGGAAAATTCATATTAAAACATCTGTAGATCAGACATCCTCTTCCTTCTACTGAATATCGCTAAAACCCCTGGACTTTACATACAAGACAACATACGAAGATTCAGAAAGATGATGAGAAAGCTGACAGACCGGCGCACTCCAGACCCAAGGAATGGCAATGAGTTCCCTAGAATTTCTCTTTCTTTTAGATGTCCCAGTCTGGTGCCAGAGAGGCTGACAACTCACAGACCCAAGGGGTACAGACAACAGCCCCCCCAATTTTTTTTTCTCCCTAGTCAAAATAATGGAAGAAATGCATGCTAGAAAGACAGAAAAGTTTTAGACTCGTGCATTATCCCAATCAAATGCTTCAACTGTCCAGGAAAAATACTGCTCAGGAATGCAGGTGAAATACAGCATTTTCTTAAAAAGGAAAACTAAGAAAATGTGTCACCACCAGACTCACTCTGAAAGAACTGCTAAAGGGAAATATCTAAACAGAAATTAAATGATGAAAGAAGAAATCTTGGATCATCAGGAAGAAAGGGACAATAAATGAAAGAATAGAACTACCATTAGGGCTAATGGACTTTCCTTCACCTCCTGTGTTGTCTAAATTGTTTGATATTTGAAGCAAAATAATCGGTTGAAGCAAAATTATAACATCCATGATTCTCAGCATAAGTAGAGAAATATTTAAGACAATTATAGTATAAATGGGACACAGTAAAGTACGTAAGGGAAAGTAAGGCTTTACATTTTACTGAGAGTGTTGTGGGTTGTGGTAGACTGTGTAGACTGATATATGTGTATACAATTATCCATATAAACATATCTAATACCTATACTACTTATATAAAGTATATTAGAGCATATATGGATATATATTTATAACTTTATATGGATGTATAGTTATAACTTTTATAAATTTAAAACTTTTAAGTTTTAAGTTTTAAAGATTTTTAAGTTTTAAGATAAAGTTTTGAAGTTTTTATCCACTTGGATCTTCTTAATTAGGTCATGACGTAGAAAAGTATAACCTTCACTTTTATCTCGCAGCATCGTAAATACAACATCACCAAAAATAAATTCCAATTGGATCATAAACCTTAACTAAAGGTTAAAAAATAAAGAAATAAAGAAAAAGGTAAATCCAGGAAAGTCATATAGGAAATTATATTCACGAACTTTGACTAACTTCTGAAATCAGTCCAAAATAATCACTAACACCCAAACAATAAATTGGGTGATGGTAACACTAAATTTTTTAAATTTAAATTTAATTGGCCAAGGTATAGTACATCATTAGTTTTTTATTAAAATTCTGATCATAAAAAATTTCAATAAGAGTAAAAATGCAAGTCACAGCTATTTTCATCTCATAAACTCAAACAAGTGCTCATATCTAAAGCATGATGAAAACTTCTAATAAGGGAAAAGAAACACCATTTGGGAGAAATGGGCAAGGAACACACACAAGGATATAATGCTGTATTTCTACATTATTATTTTATTATGACAAACAAAACATTTCTATTCCCTAATTATAATATACTATATACTATGTCATTATGTATAATAAACTATAAATACAATATATGGAAAAAAATAGAAAAGGCTTTTCATAAAGTAATTATTCATTATACATTCATACTAAAGAGGAACTAAAATTCTGACACTAGCTTTTAGAAGGTCCTATTCATATTAGACAGCAGTGAACATTCATAAACTCTAGACAAATGCAATGATATAGATGGATTACAATATCATGTGAGAGTGAAAGGAGACACCCATAAAAATGCATACTCCATTATCCCATTGATGTAAGGTTTGAAAATAAGCAAAGATATTTCACATTATTAAAATGGGGAGGGCTGGGGTGCCTGGGTGGCTCAGTGGGTTAAAGCCTCTGCCTTTGGCTCAGGTCATGATCCCAGGGTCCTGGGATCGAGCCCTGCATCGGCAATCTCTGCTCAGCAGGGAGCCTGCTTCTCTCTCTCTCTTTCTGCCTGCCTCTCTGCCTACTTGTGATCTCTCTGTCAAATAAATAAATAAAAATCTTAAAAAAAAAATGGGTAGGGCCAATAGAGGCTCTAAACTTCTATTTCATGCTCTGATTTGTAATTCTATGGTTCTAACTACTTTGTGATTAAGTTGCACAATCATATGTTTAATTTCCTTGACATGTAATAAAATTACACAGTAAAGTTATTCCAGGCAAAAGAGCATTTATAGAAGCAGGGTTTTCTATGAAAAGCAAGAACTGGCAATTGTCAAGTGTACAATAAAGATTTAAAAATATAAATAAAATATCACAGTCAAACTATGGAATAGTAATAGACTTTAAATAAGCTAGAAATATGTACACAAAGATGAATGAACTCTAAAATATAATATTAATTGATAAGCTTTTAATAAAATTTGGAAACATCTGAAATCCTACCAATTCTTCTTCATCCTCTATGGAGAATAGGGTAGACTTCTTCGAAGCGCAGGCCGACAAACTCTCACTCCATGATTTTCTTTCAGTGCTAATGTAATAGCAATTGTTGGAATATGTCATCCACTCTTTTGGACAATGACCACAGTAATATGCTGGACAAAAATTATAAGATATTCTCCAAAAAGGTTCAAATATTAAAAAATGCAAATTGACAACTGACATATGTATACACCTGTGTATATAACGTATCCATGATCCCTCACAAGCTGGCAAAAATAAAACAAAACACACACATGATACACCCAGAAGATGAGGCTTTTGCCCTAATATATGTGCCCATATAGAGCAAATACACACCACCCCCCAACACACAGACACAAAAACATCTCTAAATGTCCTTTGAGTCACTGAACAAAACAACTGTTTTGGAATTGTATAGTGGTTTATCTTTTATCATGCTATAGCAGGAGGAAATTTGAGATAATCGATGACTATGGGTATGATTATTTTGTGATTTTTTAAAGGTTTTATTTATTTATTTGATATATTTCTGTTTTTAAAAGATTTTATTTATTTGTCAGAGAGAGAGAGAACAGAAGCAGGGGTAGTGGCAGGCAGAGGAAGAGGCAGGTTCTCCACCAAGCAGGAAGCCTGATGCTGAACTGGATCCCAGGACCCTGAGATATGACCTGAGCAGCAGACTGATACTTAACCAACTGAGCCTCCCAGGCATTCCATGGGTATGGTGATTTTAAATAGTATTTCATCATACTGTTTCATAAGTAATAGAAGTAATAATAAGTAATACTTTCCTATAATTATTATTTCTGAGAGTTTATTACATGATTTTCTAATTTGTTTTACTCAAAAGAATCAATTATCAGGGGCACCTGGGTGGCTCAGTGGGTTAAGCCTCTGTCTCGGCTCAGGTCATGATCTCAGGGTCCTGGGATTGAGCCCCGCATTGGGACCTCTGCTCAGCAGGGAGCCTGCCTCCCCCTCTCTGCCTGTCTCTCTGCCTACTTGTGATCTCTGTCTGTCAAATAAATAAATAAAATCATAAAAAAATCAATTATTATCTTTTCCTAGCCTAAGATAGAGATAAAATAGAAATTACACTAATAACAGAATTTTGAAAATGATGTACCTTTCTGGATCCTAGTTTCCAGGGATGTTTTGTTCTGTTTCGGTCCTTCAGTAACTAGAAAAATTAAAGCAATCCTCATACAAACTTAATATTAAATTAAATAAAACATAATGATTTGAGTTTCTTGGTTTGAAAGCTGGTATATTGTTTAGAATTAGAAAATTCTGTAATAAAATTGATTTTACCAGTAAGTGGTTAATGAAGTAATGAACATGTCGGGGGAAAAAATTCAAAAGCTTAAAGAACCAAACCTCACCACTTTTTACAGCATTTTGTTTACACAATCTCAAGAATTAATTTGTCTCTATAAGGTCTCTCCTATACTCCTATACTCTCTACAATTATTCTATTATTTCTACATTTGGCAAATTCAGAGTAACAATTCTACCCGAAAGCACACATGCATTAAAATGAGATAAGACAATTCCATAGTACTATGCAATATTTCGAGGTACTGACAATCATTAAAGTGAAAAGTTCTCTTGTAGACATTCAAACACTTACTTACCAAGAATAACAGCTATTGTGACCACAGTGGACATTAAGACAAGGCAAATGATCCCCAGGATCCCAGCAACGAGCTTCCCTGGACATAAAGGTAAATAGTTGGAAGAGAAATGAAAACAATGAGAAAGGATGGGCAGAAATAATCCTTTAGGAAATGTACATACAAGAGAACCAACAAGATGCACAGAGAATCATATAAAAACTTGCACTCCAAACCCATATTTACCATTATAATCTTCTCAGAATGTAACATTGCAGTGGCAGTAAATTTATTACCCCAGGAGATGTTGGTAAAGATTACAAATTATAACAAAGCTGGAACAAAGTTAGTCTTCAGATATCAATTACAACACTATATTGCAACTTCAAGCTCTGATCTTCAGAAATGAGAAATAGGTATCATTCCCTACTCATTCTCTGCACTTCTACTGCCCAACTGCTCATCATAGTACATCATACAACAGATATACTGTGTGTGTATTACATGTTTTACCTTTGCAGTGGGAGTTCTTGCTGTTCCTTTGAGGATCCTGAGAAGCATTTTGAAGATGTGAAGCATCTTGAAGAGTTAATTCTGCATATGTTATTTCCTGCTCAGTTTCCGAAATGGGACTTTTAGTGCCCTTAGTTTTCACTTGCTGTCTTTTTGAACCCTTAACTTGACTGAGTTCTGCATAAGTAACTCCTTGGTTATTCATCTCTGCAGCTGTGTCCTGTCAGGCACAGGGCTGAGTGGGACTGTACTGAAGGACTTGATGAATAGTGTATGCGATGACAAGATTGGTGAGACAGTCACAGAGGGTGGAGTGTGTGGTGAGTGGTAGTACTCATTTGCCGTTGAACAATGTAAAATCTGGTACTAATTTCCTTAGAGCATTTCATGATAGAATAAGTTATTTTTACAATGATATTCTATGCTTGACACAATAGTATTAGTTGGAAAAGTGTAAAGCAATAAATTAGTGAAGAAGAAAGGAATTCAGGAATAATATTGTCCTTATTAGTTTAAAGTCAGAATCCACAAAAATATTTCAACATTATTAGAATAACTGGTTTAAAATTAAAATGCCAAATTAGAAAAAAAAAAGTGCTGCATCCATTTTGGGGGGCAATTTTTATATCATGTGTTGGTTAAAAATTGATGTTCTAAGATTGGGGAATACTAGTTTAGTACATATAGGAATTTCCTGGAGTAAATGACTTTTATTTCAACAATTAGATTTCTTTACCTAAAAAGTAATGCAGCCCCATCAAGTGAACTCTTTTTTTGAATAATTTTGGAGTTCTGAGAAATCATTAAATTCAAAAGAAAGATTTTATATGTCACATGACACATTAAACTTTTCCAAAACCTGAACCATATTGAAAACAAAACAAAAAACCCCATATATATATATATTTAAAGATTATATTTATTTACTTGACAGACAGAGATTGTGTTTGTGTGAGCATAGAAGGAGAGGGAAAAGCAGACTCCCTGCTGAGCAGAAAGCCTGACCCTGGACTCGCTCCCAGGACCCCGAGATCATGACCTGAGCCAAAGGAAGATGGTTAACCGGTTGACTGAGTCACCCAGGCGCCCCAAAACCCATATTTTTAAAAAGCACTTATTAACACCAGAAATTGACAATTGATTTAATGGCAAAGAATGAAAGCTTAGAATGATAAATAAGAGTGTAGATCGTGGGGCACCTGGGTGGCTCAGTGGGTTAAGCCTCTGCCTTTGGCTCAGGTCATGATCTCAGGGTCCTGGGATCAAGCCCCACATTGTGGGGGTGGGGGTGTCTCTGCTCAGCAGGGAGCCTTCTTCCCTCTTCTCTCTCTGCCTGCCTCTCTGCCTACTTGTGATCTCTGTCAAATAAATAAATAAATAAATAAATAAATAAATAAACCTTTAAAAAAAGAGTGTATGTCATTTATAGAAGAACGCTGTTGGTACAAACTTCTAGAAATGTCTATGAATGTCAAAGACAGTGAGGATAGCTTTAGTTGTATAAGTAATTCCACTAAATCAAATCAATGTAATTTCCTAATTCAGTCAATGAGCTCTGCAGTTAGTGAAAGCTGGAATTACTCCTGGCTTTCAATCTTACAAAGTATGAGTTTTAAGAAGTTACTTCCTATCTAGTTATTTAGTTTTTACTAATCTAAAATGGTAATTAAAATATGTAGAACATAATGCAGATAAAACACTTAATATTCCATCTGGCTTTTCTCAGCTCTCAATAATGTATCAGTTGTTTTAATTATTTTTAACACAATGGCCACTTTACCATTACTGACTCATATCCTTTAGAGTATGTAACATAATTCATTAGACAGGAGTGTCTTTCAGTATCAAAAAACTTTTTTTGCTAAGCTTTGACTTGAACATTTGTACTTAAGCTTAAATTAGCATTTTTACAGAAGGTACCTCAATCTTCCTTTTTACAAAAAATCAAACTGTCTTAATTTATCAAAGCAAATATATGACCATTTGACCATTATGATTTGATTGTTTCATTTTAAGAACTTATTTTTAAAGCCTAAGGTAAATATCAAATAATATAGTAACTATATCTATAATTGATGACAAATCCAGACTGTTCCTTCTCATGATGCTTATAGGATTTCACTTAAAATTATATTGATTTGCAAACACAATTTATGCCTGTGGATATATACTTAATTACTTCTCTACAGGCAAGAATTTGGATATTTTAAGAAGTTCTCCAATATATTTCAAATTAATTTTTGTTTGTCACCCTGAATTGTTGGAATAAAGTTACCAATATTCTCTGTGATTTGATTGTGTATTAGTTGTGCCTCAGATGCCTCCCGTCCAGCATTTGTTATCTCCCACTAAGTGAGGTGCTAGGAGAGAGCAGAGGAGTGACACATACCTTCTGCTGGTCAGAAAGTCATGCATCTTCCAGTGGGAGACCAGGTTACTCTTGTAAACAGAATCTGTGGTCTTCACAGACTGCCGGCCCTGTGAGAGAGCTCAGAGTGAGGCAATAGTGGAAAAAGTAGATTTCTCATCAATGTGTCACTTAAAATTTGAACAGGAAATCCTTACACTTAGGCTATTTTGAAGACACTTTATCTCATCACACACTGAGACTTTCAGCTTGTAGTGTGTCATTAGTCTGTCCCTTGGCAAGTGCCTCTGAGAAATGTTTATGTTCCACAAGATATTGGGGTCAGAGACTTGACCATTGGGCCGCTAACTTCCTTCCAGCTCAATCACAAATACTTGAGAACGTGGGCTTGTGAAAAATGTTTAAATTTTACTGTTAGGGTTTCTACATCTTACATCATGCTTGTCTTTCTTGCACCTTTGCTATGTCATATCTATTACACTGAAAATATTTTAAAATCATCATCCTGTTAATAGGTATTTAATGATATTTGACACTAATTCTGAAGACTCACTACATTTTCATCCTTATTGTAACTGCCACAAGGACATAACTTCCAAACTTACCTTTTCAATTTTTCTACCTTCATTTTTAATATACCTGCATTTTTTTTTCAGCATAACAGTATTCATTGTTTTTGCACCACACCCAGTGCTCCATGCAATCTGTACCCTCTCTAATACCCACCACCTGGTTCTCCCAACCTCCCACCCACAGCTGCTTCAAACCCCTCAGATTGTTTTTATTTTTATTATTTTTAAATAAGTTATTTAGGTTTCTCCTGAAAAAATTATGCTTGTCGGGGATAAAACGTTGAAATTTTTAAAAAAAAACCAGCATCTCAGAGATTTGAATGTTAAATAATTATTCATATTATTCATTGATTCATCCTCCAATGATAACTATTTAAATAAGAATAGTTGTATTTTAATAAGAATAATAATTGTAAATGATAAAACTATAGGACTAACTATATAGTAGGAAAATGAATGCAATGCTTAAAAATTTCACTTAATTTAAAAAATTAAGATTGACAGAGAAGGTACTTTTAAAGCACAATTAAATATCACATGTGCATCTCATAATTTTTAAAGATATTTGCAAATATGTTTCTATTGCTCTGTAGTTCTGTTGTTTTGGTTTAGTTTTGCAAAATCGGTTGAGAATATTTTTTTACTTTATTTATTTCTAATAATGTGTAGTTGACATACAATATTATATTACTTCCAGGTGTAGATACAGTGATTCAACGTTTATATACCTTTTATGATCATTATAAAACTCATTACCATCTATCACCATATAAAATTAATACAATTTTATTGAATATGGTCCTTGTGCTGTAATTTGTATCCCTGTGACTTCTTTTGTAACTGAAATTTTGTATTTCTTATTTCCTTTTACCTATTTCAGCCATCCCTCCATGCCCCTGCCCTATGGCAATCACAACTTTGCTCTCTCTTTATATGACTCTGTTTCACTTTTTTTTTGTTTGTTTTAGATTGCATATTGTTAGTCAAAACATATGGTATTAACTTCCTTTATCTGACTAACTTCATTTGGCATAAAATCCTCTAGTTCTATCAATTTTGTAAAAAATGACACACATTTGTTTTTATTGCTGAGTAATATTCCATTGTGTATATGTACTGTTTCTATTTACTCATTTGCCCATAGATGAACACATCGGTTGCTTCCATATCCTGGATATTATAAGTAATGCTGAAGTAAACATAGGGGGCACCCATCTCCTCAAGTTAATGTTTTCATTGTCTTTAGATCCCCTGAAATGGATATTCTGGATCTATGGTATTTCCATTTTTAATTTTCTGAGGCATCTCTATACTGTTATTCATCATGATGGCACCAATTAAAAGTCCCACCAGCAGTATACAAGGTTCTCTTTTCTGCACATCCTCACCAGTATTTGTTATTGCTTATATTTTTAACTCTGAGAGCATTTTGCCACTCATTGTGGTTTTGATTTTCATTTTCCTGACAAGTATAATGTTGAGCATCTTTTCATGTGTTGGTTGGTCTTCCATATATTTTCTTTCAAAGAAATCTGTTCATGTCTTTGGCCCATTTTTTAATGTTTGCATTTTTTTGAGATGTAGGAATTCCTTATATATTTGGATATTAAGCTCTTGTCGGATATATTATTTGCAAATATCATCTCCCATTATTGACTGCCTTTTTGTTTTGTTGGTGGTTTCCTTGGCTGAGCAAAAGTGTAGTTTGATGTACTTTTTATTTCTCATTTTGTTCCCCTTCCCTATGGAAGCAGACCCAAAAGAATAAAGTTAAGGCCTATCTCCAGAGTTTATTGCCTATGCTTTCTTTAAGAGTTTTGTGGCTTCTGGTTTTACACCTATATCTTTAATTCATTTTAGGTTTATTTTTGCTTATGGTGTAAATAGGAGGTCCAGTTTTATTCTTTTACACATAGTTTTCCAGTTTTTTAAACACCATTTACTGAAGACTCTTTGTTCCCCATTCTCTATTCTTGCCTTCTCTGTCATATATAGTTGATTATATAAACAGGTTTATTTCTGGGCTTTGTATTCCATTCCTTTGATCTCTGTTTCTGTTGTTGGGTCATACTGCTTTGATTGCTAGAGCTTTGTAGTATAGTTTGAAGTATATGTGCATGTTACTTCCAGTTTTGTTCTAAAAGCTCCACACAAACTTTTAAGATAATTTATTCTTGTTCTGTGAAAAATGCTATTGGGTTTTCATAGGGATTACATTGAATCTTTATGTTGTTTTGCAAAATATGGATATTTTCACAATATTAA